TGACACGGAAAAATCTAAATTCCGCAGATTTCTGCGCTACGGGCTACAACTACAGAAAAATTCTGCGGTGTTGAGTTTTCATTTACATGGCGCTTCGGTAAGACAGATCGTGTCAGCTGACTCGGGTTTACGTACCGGTAGGTTTACGTTCTTGACTAATTTCAGCTTTAGATTTTTCCGTGTCTGCTGATTTCTTCCTTCTATAGATGGTTGCCACTTCGTCAGTTTCGCAGATGGTAAAAAGTTATAATTTCGTATTCAAAATACGTTTAAAATATTTGAATTTTACTATTGAATAAGGTTTTTGTTGAAAACTAAGTAGTTTATATTTAGGTACGATATATTATAGCACGCGAAATTGTAGTTGAACAGGTAAGTTTATGAAAAGGCATTGATGAGCGGCAACACTGTAGTAAGCAACACTGAGGGTTCCAGTAATCGACAAAATTCTGCGTGTACAGACTGCGTTTAAGTATACGTTCTGCGTTCTTGACTAATTTCAGCTTTAGCATGATGCAATTATTGTATCATGACCAATTAGAACAGATCTGACCGGCTGAGAAGCAGCCATTTGTAATAGCAATTGAGAAAAAAGTGTGTGACGTTCGTAATTTTGAAGTTTGCTATTTCTGTTTTGTTTCTTTCTTTATGTGTATTTTGTCGGTGGTTTATTTCAGCGACTTTTAAGTGATTTTTTGTGCAAATGTAATTAAAATGAAGTGCGCTGTGATTGGATGCGAAAACACGTACAAAAATAATAAATTGGTTAGCACAAACACGTGCACAGCATTGCTTGCATTTTTTCTTATGTTTCGTCTTCATATTCTTTGCTTACTTTTCACGGAAAATAACACGGCGCCGAAATTACAAACGTCAGCCAGAAAATTACATTTTTCTTTTGCTTCATCTTGTCAGATCTTGTGTAGTTGGATCATGGCTTTCCTTTATGGCCTTTCGTTAAAGGGGCGCTGGGCGAAAGGTAAGTGGGCCCACCTTTTTGGAGAGGGAATAAACCGCCATTGACAAAAATGCAACCCCCGACCACCTAGGTCCCCTATGGTTCCCTACCCCTTACAAAAATTGCCAAAAATCACAATTTTCATTTGCGTTTATTCGATTGAAAAATTTTAAATATTCATTTGCACAATACATTTTTATATACACATTTTTATAAAATACCCAGTAACCATAATAGACATCACTGGGGCGGCAGCCCTAGGTTTACCACACAGAAAGGGAATTCTAGTTACCTCATCCTTTCCCAAGGTTACATCACTGGGGCGGTAGCCCCAGTTAGGTCACACAGAAAGGAGAATTCTACGCAGTAAGGGTTATAATCCCTAAGCGCGGCCGGTTGGAATTCTACGCAAAAATGCTGTGGACGCAAGTAAAAATTGCGATTTTTGGCAATTTTTCTAAGGGGCCGTAGGGAACCATAGGGGGCCTAAGGTGGTCGGGG